GCGCCACGGATAATGTTTCAAATGAGCATTAACAGAGTTGGCAGGGGATCTCGGAGCTGGCGGCCCCTAGAGGTAGAGTGTCCTTTCTGGCTCTCACCATCCCGCCCCCAAACGCATGGGTGAAAAGTCTAACAAAACTCAAGGATTGCTTGCTAAATGTACCATCAAATGACAACTCTCGGTTAAAATTCGGGAGCGAATGGAAAACTGTGCTGCTGAGACTCAACCCTGACCGAGAGATTTACCCGCAGCCAAGACGAGTAACATCTCTTGTGGGCGACTTCTCGCAGCAAGATCCTACCTATGTACATCCTCTGTCAATCCTCAGTGTCGTCGTCACCGCGCTGAGGTACACCACGGCAGCAACTTTTCATATGCTGGCTAGGAAATAATGTCCGACAAAGTTATACCCCACAGCACACATGCAAGCTCAAGGTCCGACGATCATAATTAGTACCGATTAGGAAAAGTCCAAATGTCCGTATCCACTGGTCCCACTCGCCCGAGTGTTGGAACCAAACAGGTGCAGCCACGCCTGACGCATTTTGCTTTCCTATTCTGTCGTGCTAAGGGCACAACTGAAACAACGTTAAAGGTGTCTAACGTGCGATAAAAAAGAATGTACCTATTTGTGTGGCCACAAAAGTCCTGGACCTGCGGGCCGCTCCCCGCTGATCTCCGAAGAGTGCAGCCCTGTAGCGCGGGAAGCTCAATACACGGTTGTGAGGTGAAGCAGTCATGGGCAGGACGTGACGATTCCTTGGGTGAGCCAAGAACCAGAGCATCATGTGTCGGCTCTGCATTTATGGAAGCCTCATTGGATGGCTGGGAATGCCCATGATCTGCCCCTGCCTTCCGTTGAGGGCTGACAATTCTACCTAGGGCTGCCTTATGGACGGTATTCCGGGGGCCACACCTGTTATAGGTCAAAGAGGACACCACACAAATGAGGCAACATCTCGACCCACACAAAACAATGGCCACAGTCAACCTAGAAATAGGCTTGACGTCTTCCCTCGAAGTCGGAGTACATCTGCCGGAGAGGCGGGGAAAGAGAACTGCAAACAAATAAGCCAGTAAAACGGATGTACACGCAAAACTCAGGTCAAGGTAAAAGCCAAAAGTCTATTTGGACGAACAACCGCGACTTACCGCCGGAATTCACAGCCGGTGAACAAGAAGAAGAAGAAGAATGTCATAGAATGTGCTCAAATGTGACAACAGACACAGGGGGAAATACCTACTTAACTATTTTCCAGGAGGAAAATTTGTAATCATATTGTGAACAACAATTACAAACATTTTATGTGAAACATGTACAGACAGTATGTAAAACAAAAACCATACTGAGTCAAACACTCAGTGCCGTGTGCTAAAGTTAATGCCCAGATGTAATGGCAACATACAAGTCAGATGTGAGCATTTTAGTTACAAAAGGTGCACTGATTAGTCGATTTTGAGAACAACTGCCCACATATGGTGAACTGTTTTATGTATTATAGAGCACTTCTTCCATCCATAGTGTGATCTTGTCAGCAAATCCAACACACACTTCTTCTTCTTCTTCTGCGTTCGACATCAGTCATGCTAAACATTGAGTCCAGTCTGGATCAAAAATAGGATTGTGCGTTTAAGGTCGCCACCCCACTTCATTCCTGTTTATGACCTTGTCAACCCATCTAACATCCTCTCCACTCTCATCTATCGTCTTGTCAACCCATGTAACATCCTCTCCACTCTCGTCTATGGTCTTGTCAACCCATCTAACATTCTCTCCACCCTCGTCTATGGTCTTGTCAACCCATCTAAGATGCCCTTCACGACTGTATGACCTTGTGGTTCTAGTAACTAAATCGGGCCTATCGAGACTTCATTGGGCGATTAATCATTCGCCATAACCTCTGAGACACACACATCTAAGTGCCAGGTTGTATCGTGTCAACTGTCTTACCAGCGACCATGCGTGCTGTATATTACAGGATGTTAGCGGTTTTAACGACCCCATAACATGTACAACTGGCTCTAGCCCCACCCCCTCCCACCTCACAGACTGAGCCTGAGTCTCATAGGAGAGTGCATTCTGTGGTTTCAGATTAAAAAAAAAATTCTCTGGCCCCAAAACACAAAGGTACCCTCCTCGTCGCAAAAAACACAAATTCTGCTTATGAGTGAACACGCAATGTCGGCGGCCGCTGGTCACTCAACAACGATTAATACGCAAGGCAGAAAACTTTGCGAAGACAATAGTACACCTTGACACCCCTCTAATGTAGACCAGCTTGTTCAAGCATCAATGAAATTTCAGCTAGTTAGTTGGGCCCGACTTCGTTACTACAACCGACCTTGTCAATTATTTCTAACATCTCCTCCACTCCTGTGTATGACCTTGTCAACCCATTTAACATGCCTTCCACTCTTGTATATGATCTTGTCAACCCATCTGAAACCCACCTGCTCCTCTGTTTGACTGTGTCAACCCATCTAATGTCTACTCCACCTCTGTGTATGACCTTGTCAACCCCTCTGATGTCTCCTCCACTCCTGTTTATGACCTTGTTAACCCATCTAATGTCTCCTCCACTCCTGTGTATGACCTTGTCAACCCCTCTAAGGTCTCCTCTCCTCCTGTGTATGACCATGTCAACCCCTCTAATGTCTCCTTCCCTTCTGTGCATGACCTTGTCAACCCCTCTAATGTCTCCTCCACTCCAGTGTATAACCATGTCACCCCCTCTAATGTCTCCTCCACTCCTGTGCATGACCTTGTCAACCCCTCTAATGTCTCCTCCACTCCAGTGTAAACCATGTCACCCCCTCTAATGTCTCCTCCACTCCTGTGTATGACCTTGTCAGCCCCTCTAATGTCTCCTCCACTCCTGTGTATGACATTGTCAACCCCTCTAATGTCTCCTCCACTCCTGTGTATGACCTTGTCAACCCCTATAATGTCTCCTCCACTCCTGTGTATGACCTTGTCAACCCGTCTAATGTCTCCTCCACTCCTGTGTATGACCTTGTCAACCCCTCTAATGTCTCCTCCACTCCAGTGCATAACCATGTCAACCCCTCTAATGTCTCCTCCACTCCTGTGTATGACCTTGTCAACCCCTCTAACGTCTCCTCCACTCCTGCATATGACCTTGTTAACCCGTCTGTCTCCTCCACGCCTGTATAACCTTGTCTGCCCATCTAACATCACCTTGAACTCCTGTATAAAATGTCAGCCTAACATTTCCGACTCCTGTACCTGACACCGGGTGTTAACCATGATCACAGCTTCTAAGATGTAGACCCCTACTGACCTGGTGATGAACTAAGAGATCAATGAGCTCAGACAGGCAGCTCACCTGTTTGGTGACCCGCCGGTGCTTGCCTGGACCCTGTCGCCGTGAGTCGATGTCCAGGAACGTGGTCATCGTGTGTACGGGAATCATCGGGAAGATGTCCTTGGGCGGGGTCGAGTGGTAGGGCGCCGCCTACCAAAGAAATTCAGTGTGATTAGGAAAGCGAGTTTACATGGACAATAGAAAAATAGAGATCGAGTTTACTTTATCTTCGTTTTCACTTCCTGCAGGTACTTCATCGAATTGTTGGGGAAGATTTCAAATACAATATTACTACACTTAATGGAACGTTAAATGCATTCGAAAAGAAGAAATAAGAGGAATGTCTGCAAAAGCAGCAGTTATAAAACAAAGAAACTAGCGAAGTCTTTTCCTTTTTTTAACTCATTTTGAAGGCCCCGAGATTTCATAGAGAATTCCCGGGAAAGGCCAAAAGTATAGGCGTGGTAAGGTATTCAATGTAAGTTAATGTCTCTTTTAACGCCTTTAGGCATTACTCATATGGAAAGAGCACCGATATTTTTACAGGCCAATCGGCACTATGTGGGTAATGTGGTCAGCATTACGCCGACCGTCTTTACTTCCCCAGGACATACATCCTGGTACCCATTTTAGGCTGGGTCGACCTGCGATACCGTGATAAAAATCCACGCAGCTAGGTTTTAATCAAGGTACATTGGAATGACGAGTCGCACTCGTAACGCCTAAGCCACGGACGCCGCTCCCAACCTTCTAAAATACAGAAATTTTTGGGCAATTCCCTACGTTACACCATGACGTTTGCGCAGATATTGAAAGGCTCTGATAATTAAGTTTTAATATCCTTGTATTGGAATACAAAGGGACAAAGCACAAGAAGGGCAACAACAACAACAAAAACGTTGCAAACAAACACACGCGAGCGCACGGGCAGGTACGAGAGCATACATAGAAATGTACACTAATTTTTTAATTGGATAACTAACGATGGAGAATATGGTAGGGCTCCCAGCGAATAGGACCATGGCACAAATTGGTTAGGAGTATATGCTTAATAAGTGGGGTTTAAAGAGCACGAGAAACGAAGACATGCAGTCTCACCACTTGTCAGCACATTTACGATGAGTGTAGACATGTCTATGAGACTCACCCGCCCTCTGAAGATGCGTAGAGCCGGCAGGTTTTGCTCGTCCAACGAGATGGGGCCCATGTAGCGTTTTCTCGGCGTGTAGAACTTGCCTAAAACTTTACTGTAAGACTTCTCGCCTGCCACTATCTCCTCCTCGCTTTCCTGCTCGCCTCTGGCCTGTCGCTCCGCCTTGACTTTCCCTCGCGACTCCTCCAGCTGTTTCTCCTGAAAACATCGGACGATAAAGTAAAAGCAATCTTTTCCCCACGCCTTGGGGCGTACTGGGCATGTAGGGCTTGTCCTATCTTTAACAAAAAACCAATCGGTACTCAGCGGGTGATGTGCTCAACGCCACACCAGCCGCCTTTACTTGCCAGGACTTTTTACCTTGTACTTATTTTAAGGCTGTGTCGACCTGGGAGCCAAGATCATTTTTGAGAAAAGTCCGACTCCGTCAGGACTTGAACCCACGATCTTGGGATCCACAGGCGAGCGTCTAGGCACTACACCACGGCGGCTACCCATCGGACCAAAAACAACAATAAAAAAGTCGGGGAATCTCTGGAAGTCATAAGTAGGTACTGCGATTCACAGAATTAAATAGTTCACAAAATTATGTGTTTCACGGAACGATGCGTTTCACAGAGCTGTGTGTTTCACAGAACTATTCTCAGGGAATTAAAATGTAATACAGAATTACATGTTTCAAGGAATCAAGTGTTTTAAGAGAACGGCGTGTTTCACAGAACTGTGTTTTACATAACTGTTTTTCACGGAATTATTAAATTGTATAAAAGTATAGAATATTGTGAGAGATAGATTGTACAACCAACACCAGATTTGGAACATGTATTGACTGAAGTCAAGACAATCTGACCATTTAGCACGGAATAATATCAACGTTTTAAGTTTTGTTAAATACTAGTCTTTAATGTTTTCATTTGATGCACGTGTGATGTAAACAACTCACACTCATGCTTTCACTGAAATATTCACTTAAACATTAATCTACTCATATTGTTACATAAGCACACACACATCCACTCACACATCCAGCTCGTCGAACATCCACTCACATGTGTCTACTCACATATATATCCACTGACTTACGTTACATACACACATCCACGCATGCACATCCAAATATATACCTATACATTCACACATATACACATATCCTCTCGCATATCTACCCACTTGCACATCCCCTCACACACATCCACCCAAACACCCATTCACAGAAGTAGATATACCCACACAAATAGTAGGTCGCGGAGACAGCTTCACTCGAGTACATTAAAGTCGGCAAGACTTTCAGGGAGGTCGCTTCAGCATACACACACTTAGACACAAGGAAACAGCACTTTCAAACACCAGTAAACAGTCACTTTCACACACAAGTAGACAGTCATTTCACACACAAGTAGAAAGGCACTTCTTTCACACACAAGTAGATAGTCATTTTCACACAGTAGACTGTCACTTTCTCACATAAGAAGACAGGCAGTTTCACACACAAGTAGACAGTCATTTGTACACACAAGTAGAAAGGCACTTTTACAGACAAGTAGGCAGTCACTTTCACACAAAAGAAGACAGTCACTTTCACACGTTAATAGTCACTTTTACATATAAGTAGACATTCACTTGCACTTATTAGTATACTGCAAGAAGCGCATAGCTACTGAAAGGAACATACATACTCACAATTTTGACATTCTGCATCTTTGTAATGACATTAAGTGAAATTACTCAAATTTCACACAAGAATACCTCAGGGTTACGCCAATCAGTTGATACGTTTGCTTGGATCTGGGTCAGGATAATTTTACTCCTACGACTTTTTCCGTTAGTATGGTGTGTGACGTCTTCTTGCTTAGATCAGTGACTTGGCATCTCCTGGGCACGGATGCGATCACATGTCTGATGTGGCCCGTGGAATGGATGCCCACTCTTCCTAGAGTGCCTGGAACACATCGCGACCATAGGCTGTGTCAACGTCTCGGGGACAAACATATCTTTGCAGCTCATTCCCGAGATGCTCAATCGGACTCATGGCTACATACAGGGATGGCCAGGAAAGGGTTTAAATGCTATTGGCAGCCAGAAACTTCGTAGTCAGCGGTGCAGAAAATTGATCTGGGTTGGCATCCCAAAATGGAAGGAAATGTAGTCGAATAATTTCATGGAAGTATCTTTGCCCATTCAAGCTTCCTTCAATGTGCACCAACTGACTCCTTCTGTTGTAACTGATCATTCCCAACACCATTACACCTCCACCACCATGCAGCAGAGCTTCATCAACACAATTTTGGGCTAAACTTTCATTTCCTCTATGGAGACCATACACTGTCTATCATGACGCTGCAACAAAAAGAAAGAACCAGACACGTCTTCACTGATTGGCACCTGCCCAAGGACGATGTTGGTTGCCCAAAGAGATCGATTTTGGCGGTGGTGACGCGTAGGGACAGGCACTCGGTGTGGCCCATAGTCCAACGTCAAATAATCTCTCCCGAACAGTTTGACCAGACATATGACGTACTGGTGGCAAAGCCTGCGCAGCTGAGGCAGCTGTTATAAACCTGTCTGTGAGGTAAGAAGCCGAATAAAGCGATTCTCTACTGCTCTTATCGTCCACTGCGATGCGGTCTTCAACTGAACCAGTGGCTTGGAACCGGTGCCAAAGTCGACTTATGGTATTTTGATGCACGTTTAGAGCCCTGGCGAACTGACTTTGACTTTATCCTGCCTGCTATAGGCCAATATGGAGGCATCAACAAACACGCACACCTAAACCTACACCACATACATTTATACAGATGCATCAAAACATTACACACTTTTATGGAACATACATCTAAACATATACCACACACATTTATACAGACATATCAACACACAACACACTTTTATACAGATACACCAACACATCACACACTTTGATAGAGTTATATCAACACATATATGAACAACCACACACACAAACATATGAATCAACAACAACAACCCCCACTCAAGTCTTGATCCACCCAGATCGACAGCCGCAAACACGGACAACAACTTACATCCTCACCAACACTTGACATCTTTATAGCACACAGACGTCCACACCACGGCACACACGCAAACACGGACACCAGCTTACATCCTCACCAACACTTGACATCTTTATAGCACACAGACGTCCACACCACGGCACACACGCAAACACGGACACCAACTTACATCCTCACCGACACGGACATCTTTATAGCACACAGACGTCCACGCCACGGCACACACGCAAACACGGACACCAGCTTACATCCTCACCAACACTGACATCTTTATAGCACACAGCCGCCCACGCCACGGCACACACGCAAACACGGACACCAGCTTACATCCTCACCAACACTGACATCTTTATAGCACACAGCCGCCCACGCCACGGCACACACGCAAACACGGACACCAACTTACATCCTCACCGACACGGACATCTTTATAGCACACAGCCGTCCACGCCACGGCACACACGCACACCAGCTTACATCATCACCAACACTGACATCTTTATAGCACACAGACGTCCACACCACGGCACACACGCAAACACGGACACCAACTTACATCCTCACCAACACTTGACATCTTTATAGCACACAGACGCCCACGCCACGGCACACACGCAAACACGGACACCAGCTTACATCCTCACCAACACTGACATCTTTATAGCACACAGCCGCCCACGCCACGGCACACACGCAAACACGGACACCAGCTTACATCCTCACCAACACTGACATCTTTATAGCACACAGCCGCCCACGCCACGGCACACACGCAAACACGGACACCAGCTTACATCCTCACCGACACGGACATCTTTATAGCACACAGACGTCCACACCACGGCACACACGCAAACACGGACACCAACTTACATCCTCACCGACACGGACATCTTTATAGCACACAGCCGCCCACGCCACGGCACACACGCAAACTCAGTCAGACTTACTCTAACAAACACACACCGATACCTACCTTCCGGTGTTCGTAAATATGTCGACGGATCATGTAACAGGCGGACTTCCAGTGAGGACAGTGACCATGGTGCAGAGTATACAAGGTTCTTGCCGAGCCACATCTGAGAATGTCCTTGGGGATCCGCGGCTTCTTCTCCCTGTATTAGACCATCAAACGTGGAGCGGGAATTTCAACTGACAATTCCCAACTTTCTTCTTCTTCTTCTGCTTCTCTTCTTTCCTTTCTCTTTTCAGCTTCGGGTATCGAGGAAGATCTGCTTCTTGCGTTTATGGTCGCTCTGACCATAGTTACATCATACTGTTAAGGACTTCATTGTTATCTTTAGATATTGTTTTTGATCCAGTAATCAAATAAAAGCTGTTTCAGCGTCATAGCAAACGTCAAAGTCGCTCCGTTTCTATGCCAACGAAAACTACGCACAATGTCAATAACTGTCCCTTGCGAAAATGTTGACACAAACTGCAGTCTCAACATATCCAAAAGATTACACGCCTTGATGCACAAGGCAGCCGTCAGAAGTACTAAGGCTAACAGTCAGACACAAGAAATGATGTTCGTCACCGATGGAAGCAGAAATTACAACATACCAATAGTTACGCAATTATTCACATCAAGTACAACTAGTTAATTTTGTGGCAACAGGCCAATCACCATTTTCTGATTCTACATAAACCACGTTGGTCTCAGTCGAAAAACTTTCCAAATGAAATAAGAGACTCATAATGTAGCGCCATGCACTTAGTTTAGTAGCTGAACGACGAAACTATATCCTTTCAGTATACATAGGAGAAAAATACAACAGCCTACTGATGTGAGCAACAAAAACTTGTCACGACCAAAAAAAAAACAAAAATAAACTTTTCCATCCTCTAAACTGACTGGAATCCATTTGATTTGAGAGAACAAGCGTTCAAGTAACGAGTTGGTTAGAGAGGTGTAAAGTAACCACTACAGGAGGCACAAGTCGGCTCTGTTGCTAAGTCGATGCGAACGCTTAGTAAACCCGGGGTGCTGGGTTCGATCCCAGCAGCGGGCTATGCGCCTTGCGATGGTTTCGACAGTGGTATCAGGGCGCCGACTGCCCAGGCAGCAATGGCAAATTACTGGAAGTAAATTTGCCTAGAGAAACCACACAATAGTCAGGGGCTGCTGGGGTTGGTTCTGCAACGTCCTGTAAAGGATACGCACATAACCAACAGGAGGCACAAGTTGTCAAAGAAAGTAAGCCATGTCAATAAAACTAGCGAACATATAGCTAGCTAATGCATGCATTAGGCCAATGCATGCTGTCTTATAGACTTTCGAGAGACGTTGCGTATAAAACAACGTATGTTATCTCACATACTTCAATTTGTATATTGAGACAGTGTATGTTATTTCCCAGACCTCAGTTCGTATTTTGAAACACTGTATGTTATCTCATATAATAAGATGTGTATGTTGAGACAATGCTTGTTATGTCACAGACTGCAGTGCGTATATTGAGACATTATTTGTTATCTCACATAGTCCAGTGCGTATCTTGAGACAGTGTGTGTTTTCTTGCAGATTTCAGGGCGTATATTGAGACAGTGTATGTTATCTCACAGACTTCATTACGTATATGAGACAGTGTATGTTATTTCACAGACTTCATTACGTATATGAGACAGTGTGTGTTATCTCAAATATTTCAGTGCGTATATTGGGATAATGCGACTGATCTGACAGACTGAAGCAGCTGAAGAAATCGGGGGACGAATGAAATTAGACCAGCTAAGAAACAATTTGAGGACGAATAGATGGAATTATGGATGCATAGATGCATACAAGAATGAGCGCAGGGATGTATGGATAAATGAATGAATGCAGATATAAAGAATGAATTAAATGATGGATGGGTGCAGGAATGGACACATGGTTGTACAGATGGATGGAGGGAAGGATGGATAATTGATGGACGGAAGGATGGATACATGGATGGACGATGAATAGAGAGACCGATATATAAATGGAAGGACGGAATGATAAATAAATGCGTGGTGGACTTATAGGGACAGAATAATGAATGGATGGACCGAATGATGGATAAATGGCGGACAGACCACCTACCAAGGTCGTGGTCTGAATACAAGGGTAACAGAGCCAGAGGTCGACCATGCAGAACATGGACCGCAGAAATATCAGAGACACTGAAAAGTACTTTATAAAGTGGCAAAAAGAAGGTCTCGTTGCAGAGATCTCTTCCAGTGCTGACGCTGCGAGGCATTCCGGGAGTAGAGAAAAGAAGAAAAACAAAGGACAGAAGGATGGATAAATGGGTGTGTGGACGGGAGGATAGATGAGTGGATGGACGTCAGATTGTTAGACATATATATGGAAGGATGGATGAATATATGGACGGATGAATGGAAAAATGGGTTAATGGACGAGGTACTGATAGTTAAATGGATGGACAGACAGATAGATACATGGACGGATGGAAGGCTGCATTTGAAGGATCTCAGCAATACTCACACGACCGATGCCACAGTTTTGGGCAGTGGTTTCCACGTCTCCCCAAAGGTGCCGATGTAGGTGCAGTTCTTGGTCCACAAGCGGACAGTCAGGTCCAGGCTCGAGGTCAGTATCAGGTTCCTGTCCTCGATCAGTTCCACGGACACAATGGTAGTGGTATGGCACTTGACGCTGCTCAACTGCACCACAGGTGACGGGTATATACACAGCAGGTGAGCGGTGTATACACAACAAGCGAAGGGTGTATACACAACAAGTGAGGGGTGAATGCACAACAAGTGAGGGGTGAATGCACAACAGGTGACGGGTATATACACAGCAGGTGAGCGGTGTATACACAACAAGCGAAGGGTGAATGCACAACAAGTGAGGGGTGTATACACAAAAGTGAAAGGTGTATGCACAACCGGTGAGCAACAAGTTAGGGGTTTTGTGACAAAATGGACCTCAGTAGCCTCAAAAGTTATATTATGTTTAATAATTTCTTATGTTCACAGAGAAACAAATAATTATATTCACTAGGCACTAAGCCTAAATAGTTCTAAAACCACATGGGATTTAAAATTTTGTCCAGCCTGAGAGGCCAGACAAAGCAACCAAGCTTGGTTTCAGAATATGACATAACATTACCTTATCTAACTGGTCGTTCTACTAGCCAGACAGTGTCATAAATATTACATAATCAGACTGAGCATGGCCCTTTGAACAGACCAGATGAGGGGAATTAAGTTGGTCTAGTAGACAACTCCAGACATGACGGCGTCCCCTGAACCGGCATTGCAACCACCTGTCAGTGAGATTGGCTGTAAACTAGATTTGCTCAGTTAAAATGTTTTATCTTAGTAGAGGCCCTCTAAAGTGACTGACAGGCACATTGATAGCTATTTTGATCTGCAAGGTACCTCAGTGGCGTGGCTTAGATCCTCTCCTGTAGGGTAGGTTAGAAACTAGAGAAGGGAAGTTTAACTTTGCAGAGAGATAAGGGTACATATGATTACTGCTAGCATCTTGACTTTACTTAATAGTGCTGCCAGCAAGCCACAAACTGAGATCAACAGTTGAAAGTATTTCTATCTGTTTGAATCGTGTTTGGCAAAGTGCTGGAATGTTCCCAGCTCCCATAGGGCTCACGACCAGTTTTTTCTTTAAATAACAGAAACAGAATGTCCACGGGTGCGAACCTATAGTGTGTAGAAGATCGACCAGCTGAGGGATGTATACACAACAGGTGAGCGGTGTATACATAACAAGTGAGGGGTGTATACACAACAAGTGAGGGGTGTAAACAGAAAATGTGAGGGGGGGGGAAGGGGGATATACTCAGCAGGAAACAGAATGATGCACCATAGGTTGGTCAGGGACCCGAAGATATCAGTTGAGCCAGTGATCCAGAGATAACAGCTGAGCCACAGATCCATAGGTAAAAGCTAAGCCATGGATCCTTAGATAACAGCTCAGCTATGGATGCTTAGTTATGTTGAATGTTGAATGCTGAATTAAGAATCAACATCACCGCACCCAGGAAACCCACATAAGCGCTCCGTCCCCATCTTTAGCAGCAAGCAAAGAGTTGTTCCAATTCCGACGGTACCAGTAACCGTGTGATTGAATATTCGTCTCATCCTTCCTCTGAGTGTTGAGCGTCGGCCAAATCCTCTGTTAACTCCTCGCAGCGCTATTTTCCTTAGACCGTAATGATCTATCTGCGCCCCCGCATTGTTCACTCGCTCCCACAGGGCCCTCACAATATTTAACTTGTCGTACATCAATTCACTACAAAGTTGTGCAGAGCCAGCAGTCTATGTCATCGCTTTACCCCTTTTTGTGCCACATCCTATGCCTTCTATTTATCTCTATGTGTGCCATCTCTTATGTCATCTCTTTACCCCTTTTTGTGCCACATCCTATGCCTTCTATTTATCTCTATATGTGCCATCTCCTATGTCATCTCTTTACCCCTTTTTGTGCCACATCCTATGCCTTCTATTTATCTCTATATGTGCCATCTCCTATGTCATCTCTTTACCCCTTTTTGTGCCACATCCTATGCCCTCTATTTATCTCTATATGTGCTATCTCCTATGTCATCTCTTTACCCCTTTTTGTGCCACATCCTATGCCCTCTATTTATCTCTATATGTGCCATCTCCTATGTTATCTCTTTACCCCTTTTTGTGCCACATCCTATGCCCTCTATTTATCTCTATATGTGCTATCTCCTATGTCATCTCTTTACCCCTTTTTGTGCCACATCCTATGCCATCTTTATGACCCTGTCTATGCCACATCCTATGCCATCTTTATGACCCTGTCTATGCCACATCCTATGCCATCTTTATGACTCTGTCTATGCCACATCCTATGCCATCTTTATGACTCTGTCTATGCCACATCCTATGCCATCTTTATGACCCTATCTATGCCACATCCTATGCCATCTTTATGACTCTGTCTATGCCACATCCTATGCCATCTTTATGACTCTGTCTATGCCACATCCTATGCCATCTTTATGACTCTGTCTATGCCACATCCTATGCCATCTTTATGACTCTGACTATGCCACATCCTATTTCACCTACGACTGTGTACTCGAGAAACTCACCAGTCGAGGAGACTTGAGGTTTTTCCTTGGCTTGCTGGCGTCAGGGACTGATATTCGTTTCTCCCGAAGTCTCTCCATGGTGTCTAGGATTTCTTCGGGCTTGAATGGGCTTCTAATGTAGACAAAATCTTTCTTCAGCCGCTTCTCCCGAGCTTCACGATCCTCCGGGGACAGTTTCTCTCCGTTACAGAACTCTTTGATATCCCAAATCTGGGGTAAGTGCAAGAATCTATCATCATCATTATCACCACCACCACCACCATCCCCATCATCATCATCATCATCATCATCATCCTTTGTGTGCCGTTAGACGTCACAGAGGTTTCGCATTAAATCTTTACCCAGCCCCACCCCCCCCCCCATACCCCACCCACCCCACCCCCCTTTTTCACTCTGCTCTGTAGCGTGCAACTCTCTCGATTTCTGACATGGACTTGAGCCCAGGGTTTTTTATCTACTCGTAATAATGTTCTCCTTAAGGCTAAAAGAATATGTACAGTTATCTTTTAACTTAGCTACATACCCATCTAAATATTACCTAGCGATCTACATCTTAAAAGCCTAATTGGGTTTTTAATTACTTAGCTAAATTACATATGTTTTACCAGCTGCGTGACTAACTCTACAACCAGAACACATAGATGTGTATTCATGTCTGACAATTTGTGTTTGTGTGTGCCTCCATCTAGAATTCGATATGTTTACATTTTGTTCCATGAACTTCAGCAGTGGTGGAGACAAAAAGTGGGAAAGGAAGAATGCGTGTGTGCGTTTGTGTGTATGTCTGTATACTATATATATATATATTAGGGAAATTGGTGGATAGGGGGTACGGAGATATAGGCGCTTCATTAATTAGCGGTTTTGCCTACAGCCTTACTGGAAACTGTGAACCAATCATTTGTCATTGGAAGCTGCCCAACACGTCACTGAAATACTGTGCACCAATAATTTGTCTGCCTCTCCTGTACTAGTCATTGTTCTCACACATACACACACCTACACCTAAACAAACGCGCATCAAACGCATGTATATATATAAACACACACACACATACACACACACACACACAGTCACGCATAAGAAACATATACAAAATAAACACACACAACACGCATACATACGTGTAAACATGTACTGTTTGCAGATCTTCTTCTTTTTCTTTCTTTTTCTTTTTTTCTCCCTTCTCCTCCTTCCCTTCTCTTTCTGTCCAGTTCTGTTTTCAGAGTCAGGTTTGTAGATAATCGAGTAACATTTATTCGTCTCAACTCAATTAACAAAAGTATTTTGCACATATACTTTAGCACATATACATTAGCACCAACACCACAAGACAGACAAGGTGACGAGCACGTGTACCCGGAGTAGGCCCATGGTGTCGCCGGTGATCAGGTACTCGTTGTTCTTGTCGGTGACCATGCAGCGGATATTCTCCAGCTTCCTCCTGGTGCTAGTGAACTGTCCGAGCAGTCCTCCCTTGGGGTGCAACGACCAGAACCTCAGCCAGCATTCCGCGCCCCTGGCAGAATGGGACCAACAAATGTGTGCCAACATGTGAGTCTGTGTGTATCGCAAGAACACACATCACTATGGTAGTGCCATATACACATATCTCTAAGTATCGGATGAAATACATCAGTGTGTAAATATATTATCACATGTATGTACGTCACGCTAGAATGCATCGAGATAAGAATTTTTGCGCTGCACAGTCTGAACTATGGGAGAATTTTAAGTAATCGTGTGTAATTAAACATCTGGGACGCAATCTGTATTGGGCGTAAAGTAGATGTAGTATACACAACCTTCAATGCTAAATGTAATATTAAATAAACGATCATCAGTGGGCAGACTGGACAGTGATGACAACAGAGAGTGTCAGGAAGCCATTGAAATCGTCTTCGAAACTACGGACTTCGCACTCTTCATGATGATCGTGGCAGGTGGTCAACACATTTGCTTAGAGAGACTGCATCTAACAGCCCAAAAACCAGTGCGATGTGATGAACCCTCTCGCCTCTAACCCGATGCAGTGAACCCACTCATTTCTAACCCGACGCAGTGGACCCTCTCACAGCTAACCTCTCACCTCTAACCCGATGCAGTGAACCCTCTGACCGATACCTTCTCACCTCTAACCCGATGCAGTGCACCCTCTCACCGAAAATATCTCACCTCTAACCCGATGCAATGGACCCTCTGACCGATACCTTCTCACCTCTAACCCGATGCAGTGCACCCTCTCACCGAAAATATCTCACCTCTAACCCGAGGCAGTGGACACTCTTACCGATAACATCTCACCTCTAACCCGATGCAGTGGACATTCTCACCGATAACATGTCACCTCTAACCCGATGCAGTGGACCCTCTTACCGATACCTTCTCACCTCTAGCCTGATGCAGCGGACCCTCTTACCGATAACCTCTCCTCTCTAACCAGACGCAGTGAACCCTCTGACATTTCACCTCTCAACTCTAACTGAGGGGGTTGTACTTGACCAGCTGGAAGAGATAAACGTTGAGGTGTGCAGGTGTCGCTTGATCACTGACTGACGCCACAAGAACCAAAGCAAGAAGTCCTATGTGACCTTTCAACGGGCGAGCATGTGAGACAAATATCAAAGTGAGAGAGCCAGGGCAAGACAGAGACAGATGACTGTGGACAGCTGCAACTTCTGGACAGCAATCAATACAAAGAGCAACAGCTTCATGAAGCCCTTAGATGAATTAAAAGCGGAGATATCGCGATTGCCGGTCTCTGCCACACATTTAGCGCCAGGGAGGCCACTGCGATGTCACCCACGTCTGTGTTATTTAACTGCCCCTGTGCACATAATGCTGCCTTCAACAGTGAGAGCACCACCAAAATGACACACACGAACCCATGTCGTGTCCCACACAACAAGTGCCGGCTTTCCTGGATGGCAACGGCCGTTCTGATGGCGACTGCCCTTGGGATTTAGGATAGTTTACCTATACAGTCGTTCATTGCTTCGTTACATTTGTTTGGCTTGACTCTAGACCAGTATTTCTCAAGGGGAGGCGAGGGGAGGGGTGGCGGCGCAGGGGTATCGCTACATATTAAAGGGGTGTTGCCACCTAAATAGGAGTTATAACCAGTGTTCTAGGCGCATGTTGTCTTACAATGAGTTGCTGAAGGGACTCTTAGACGGACAGACATTCTGTAGCTATGTGCGGAAGACAGCCGAGCTGTGGCAAATAAAATGCGGACCATATTGTGTGTATTTTGTGTCTGTTACATGTAGCCTTCTGTAACCTTTATGTTTACATTAGAAAAATGAGGTAACTTACCCAGCGACCAGCGTGGCCGTCTGAGGGTCGATGGGTCTACGGGACTCCAGGAACACCATGCACTCTACCGCTGACTCATACACCAAACTCAACCCTTGCATGTTCATGCGCCGTTTCTTCTTCTTGTACTTGGCGCTGAAGTCCTTTCTTTCGGCAGCGGCTCGTCTCTACAAGACAAACAGACGATGTCTTGATGAGGTCCGGGGAACTAACAGGTGGATTAACACAAGAAAACATCTGACAGCACAGACAATTCATAAAGTGTGACCTTTTCGGTAGCAGAGATCTCGGTCCTGAAAGTTGTTTTCTTTAAAAAAAAAAATCTGCGTGATCTCGAGGCATGGCGTCCGCCTTGAGTGCTGGAGGTCCCGGGTTTAGGTCCCAGTGAAGCTGGAATTTTTTTACGTGGACTTCGGTAATTTCCTCTGGTCTCTGGGTAGTAAGATCGGACGCCCGTATATATTGTTGCTCACGTAAAAAATCCATTGGCAGTTGAATATCTACCCAAAGTATTTCAGGCTCCTCACCGGTACTACGGAGTTCGTGCACTGCGATGAGATTCTTCGGATTCAGGCTTGAGTCAACGGAGCATTTATGGGTTACCCCTTGTGCCATGATGTTGATCCGTTGTCTAAACCTAAATCTAAATAATCGTACTAATAGTTTGTTGTGTAGAGCTCTACTCTGTGTTGTGTGACATTATACTCATGTGGTTGGTTTCAGACTTTGAAAAGCATGGAAATGTCAGATCTCTCCTTAGTCGGGATGAATAGGAAAACCTATACAGTGACCAAGCTTCCATAGACGCAACCATTTTGAAGACTTCCAAAGACTTGAATGCCAGAGCATCAATGCTAGTCCTTCGTGAACCCACAACCCGACAATGAATTAATTAACTAATTAACTAATCTAATCACAAACAAACTAACGAATCAATCAAAACAAACCTTTTCCCTTTCGATCTGGCGTTTCTTCAGTGCTCTCAAAAGTCGGTACCAACCTCCCTCTTTCCTCAAGTGTTTGCCGATCGTCATGAATGAATCCTCCCCCTGCTCCTCCTCGTCGTCGCTTTCTTGATCCAGGTCGGCGACAACCTTGATGAGCAGATGACAAAGGTGACGGGTGCATTGACAATAAGATGGGCAACAAAGAAAAAAGACAAAGCTTTTGAACAATGGAAATATCCTCAATATGCTCAGACCCAATTTTACAATGAGGAAACCAAAAAGTAGTCTGTAAACGTTATTCTTACAGTCCTAGACTACAGTCACTCACTGACATAATGTTAGCTAGTTTTCGAACTTATAGATCACAGTCACTTACTGAAATAATGTAAATTAGTTTATGAAGTGACAGAATACATCCACTTACTGACCTAATGAAAGCTAGGTTAGTGAAGTTACAGACTTCAGCCACTTACTGACAAAATGTAAGCTAGGTTACTGAAGTTACAGCACACAGCTACTTACTGACAAAATGTAAGCTAAGTTACTAAAGTCACAGCACACAGCTACTTACTGACAAAATGTAAGCTAAGTTACTAAAGTCACAGCACACAGCTACTTACTGACATAATGTTCTTCTTGTTGCCGCCGCCTCTAACGGCTGTATTCAGCTCTGGTTTGTGGTTGAAGGAGGCACTGAGTCTGTGTGGCAGAGAATTTAGACTGATAATCAATTTCATGTGTAAAATTGTTAAACTGAGAATCTGTTTCATGTGTAGAATTGTTAAAGTGAGAATCTGTTTCATGTGTAGAATTGTTAAACTGAGAATCTGTTTCATGTGTAGAATTGTTAAAGTGAGAATCTGTTTCATGTGTAGAATTGTTAAAGTGAGAATCTGTTTCATGTGTAGAATTGTTAAAGTGAGATTATGTTTCATGTGTAGAATTGTTAAACTGAGAATCTGTTTCATGTGTAGAATTGTTAAACTGAGAATCTGTTTCGTGTGTAGAATCGTTAAAGTGAGAATCTGTTTCATGTGTAGAATTGTTAAACTGAGAATCTGTTTCATGTGTAGAATTGTTAAAGTGAGAATCTGTTTCATGTGTAGAATTGTTAAGCTGAGAATCTGTTTCATGTGTAGAATTGTTAAAGTGAGAATCTGTTTCATGTGTACGATTGTTAACGTGAGAATATATTTCGTGTGTGGGTTTTTCAAAGTGTGAATATATTTCTTTATCTGTGGGACTGTTAGAGTGAGAAATTTTGTTTGTTTGTTACATTTAAACTTATGGGTTACGTACAGTGAAGGCTATATAATTCAGAGTGTCTAGCTTGACAATTTTTTTTTTCCTTTTTTTTTTTTTTTCACGTCGCGTTTTGCACGGGGAAGCTATGTTGAAAATTATGAATCTTCTTTTCCGGGTTTTTTATTTACGTACTGTATCATTTATTTGAGCATCACGGGCATTGCGCTGGGCAAATTATTTATTAAAGTTGTGAAGGAGACAAGAGACGGACATATTACTTTTAAGCAATGGATAATACCAGTAGTGGAGTCTAGACACGAGCACATTACAAATATTCAATAGATAATACCAGTAGTGGAGACTAGACACAAGCACATTACTTATATTCAATAGATAATACCAGTAGTGGAGACTAGACACGAGCACGTTACTTATATGCAATAGATAATACAGGTAGTGGAGACTAGACACGAGCACATTACTTATATGCAATAGATAATACCAGTAGTGGAGACTAGACACGAGCACATTACAAATATGCAATAGATAATACCAGTAGTGGAGACTAGACACGAACATATAACTTACAAACAATAGGACTCAGTGGTCTCCCGTGACCAAACCACAATACTGCCATCGTAGGAGGACGACGCTATCAGGTTGGGTTCGAGGATACACAAGCTAAGGCAGTCTTCGTTGTGTCTCTTCTGCCATGACTGGGGGAATAGAGGGCTCCGTGAACTGGGTGGTCAGTAGGAGCGACGACTGATTTCAAGGGATTCGATTTGAAATGTTTAGCAATACTTTCGTGTACAGATTTTGGCTGCGTATGACCGCGATGACTTGATGATAAGACCAGTCATCTCTATTTCCCATCATGAGGCAGTATTGTTCTCTTTACTAGATTAGTTGCGTATCCTTTACAGGACGTTGCAGAATCAACCCTAACAGCCCCTGGCTGTTGAATAGTTTTTCTAGACAAATTTAAGTCCAGTAGTTTGCCATTGTTTTCTGGACGGTCAGCTTTCTTGATACCACTGTCGAAACCAACGCAAGGCGCATGGCCCGCAGCTGGGATCGAACCCGGCATCCCGGCATTACGAAGTGTTCGCATCGACTTAGCCACTGAGCCGACAGTTCTCTTTACTACTAGATCATTTAACAGTGGGGTAGCGCAAATAGATCTACGGTCTGGGAAGAGAGGCGCTGCGAGGAGTTATAGGGTATCTGGCTGACGCTCTACACTCAAGGAAAGGGCGAGACGGATATACAATCAGACAGTAACTGGTGCCATCGGAATTGGAAGTCTTCGTTTGATGCTGAAGTTAGGGGTGGAGCGCTGTGATGTCGATCCCTCATTCAACATTCAACTACAACTAGATCATTGTTGTATGTAAAACAATCAAACTTACAACTTTCTAAACTCTGGCCACAAATTCAAGTTTCCACATTCTGCTTACGCATTCACATTTCCAAAGGTTGATTCAAATGTTGAAATATTTGAATCTTGCATAAATATTCAACCATCCAACCTTTTCTTTCTCAAACCGTTTTGCTAAACGTTTCGTTGCATGTATAAATTCGCTTCTAGTACACACTTAACTTAAACTGTCTCAGTTCAAAGGATTTGTTTACAAACAGAAATTGTGAGTAATGTTTGATTTTAATTTATATTAGTGATTCGAAGCTCACTGCTTCCGGTCAACAAATACATGGGATTTTACTAAATGTCAACACACATGTTACCGAGAGTGACTTGTGGCTGGATGTTCGGTTTGCTTTAGTTTATTCAACGGGTCAACATCATGGCACACGGCTGTAACCCATATAAGTGCTCCGTTTTAATTCTAACTCAAGCCTCAGTCTAAAGCAACTTAACGCAGGTAGATTTGTAACTGCAAATTTTGCCCGGGCAGCGCCGTTAGGCTATTCTTTTCGTTTTCCAACTGCTAATGTATTTTTTTACGTGCGCAACAATACACACGGGCGTCAACCCGGAGAAAAGGGGAAATTACTAGAAGTCCACGTGAAAAAATCCCAGCCTTCACCAGGACCTGAACCCGGGACTCCAGCACTCGAGGCGGACACCATGCCTCGAGACAAAGCCGCCCCGCCCCTTTTTTTTGTGTGGGTGCATGTATAAATTCTTAGCTGCTAGAGGTACGCTGGGTAAAGTCTGGTTCATTTTGAGCGATTCCGGGAAAACGTAAAAAGTACCCGGTGACAAAGGTTTACGTGTACAACTTTCCAAAGATTCCTTATATGTTCAGGCAGCCCAGTCATGTGAATATTTGAGAGCCAGTCTCACGTTCTGCATTTGTTACTGGTACGCTGTGTTGTGGCGTACAGCTAGGCTGTAACATCTACACCTTTTCCACCAAAACATCCAGTTTATGCAAATGCTGATCAAGTCGCGCTATTACAACCAGCTTTTTAATGAGCACTGCGTTTAACCCCCCCCCCCCCCCCCCCCCCTTTTTTTTTTTCCCACCCGTTTTTCTTTTCCGAATGAAGTCCCGCAATCCAAACTAGAAACTGCTATCTTAAGCGGGCAAAACGAAAAAGCCGGTCAACAATTATGGACAGCACTTAGCAACCCACGTACGTAATGTGTAGAGCTGGCTATCCTGCTGACTCCCTGTCTCGACACACACCCGTGTGCATTAGCAATAACACCCCCACCATCTTAGACAAAACAGCAAGTTCAGTTCTAATCCTGACCTAACGGCGGGTGATCCAGCAGGAAGGAGGGTGATCTAGCAGGAAGGAGGGTGACCTAGCAGGAAGGAGGGTGACCTAGCAGGAAGGAGGGTGACCTAGCAGGAAGGAGGGTGACCTAGCAGGAAGGAGGGTGATCTAGCAGGAAGGAGGGTGATCTAGCAGGAAGGAGGGTGATCTAGCAGGAAGGAGGGTGATCTAGCAGGAAGGAGGGTGACCTAGCAGGAAGGAGGGTGATCTAGCAGGAAGGAGGGTGATCTAGCAGGAAGGAGGGTGATCTAGCAGGAAGGAGGGTGATCTAGCAGGAAGGAGGGTGATCTAGCAGGAAGGAGGGTGATCTAGCAGGAAGGAGGGTGATCTAGCAGGAAGGAGGGTGATCTAGCAGGAAGGAGAGTGATCTAGCAGGAAGGACGGTGGGTGTGCGGACAAAGACGGTCTCACAGACCTTCTTTAGGGCCTCCTCTCCTTTGAAGTCGCTGAAGACATTGATGTACTTGTTCCAGCCGGTAACATAGATAAGGCTCTTGGCCATGACAATACTGGTGATCTTCTGACAGTGGCTCATGTCCAGCACCCTAGGGAGTACAAGCGTACCACAACATGGGGAGAACAGATGTGATTGTGTCACAACATGCGGAGAACAGGTGTGGATGTAGCACAACATGGGGAGAACAGATGAGATTGCAGCACAACATGGGGAGAACAGATGAGATTGCAGCACAACATGGGGAGAACAAGTGTGGATGTACCACAACATGGGGAAACAAGGTGTGATTGTGGCACAACATGGGAAGAACAGATGGGATTGCAGCACAACATAAAGAGAACAAGTGTGGATGTAGCACAACATGGAGAGAACAGGTGTGATTGTGGAACGACTTGGAGAGTACAGGTGTGATTGTAGCACAACTTGATGAGAACAGGTGTGATTGTGGAACGACTTGGAGAGTACAGGTGTGACTGTAGCACAACATGGAGAGAACAGGTGTGATTGTGGAACGACTTGGAGAGTACAGGTGTGATTGTAGCACAACTTGGGGAGAACAGGTGTGATTGTGGAACGACTTGGAGAGTACAGGTGTGACTGTAGCACAACATGGAGAGAACAGGTGTGATTGTAGCAGCTAAGTTTGCGGCACAACATGTCGAGAACATCTGTGATTGTAGCACAACATGGCACAGTACAATAGAAGTCAATTATAGCACAAATGATATAGAATCAACTATTGTAATTACACAACAACACGATACAGTACAAATCAAGCGAAGTTACTACAATATTCTAAAACAGTTTATGATTTTTACTTCCTAATGATATAGCACAACAATGGCAGTTTCTACTACAACCTAGTACAATAAAACATTGGCACATAGTATAAAAACAATTTAATGCAGTCTCTTTAGCCCCTTAGTGTTTGGAGTACACTGCCCCTTGTTACTGTCGAGAAAGGCCCAGCACTGAAACGTCCTTTTGTGTGTTTTGTTGTTGTTGTTGTTGTTCTTTGTTTACGTTATTCTACTTACTGATTTCGTTACGATTTTCATTCATTGTTAATTGTGGATTAATTCCTTGGTATTAACTTAACTGCAATCACCCTTATTTTTACCAGACCTGAAACAAGCCTACCTCAAAACGACTCCGACGCTGAAGTTCCAGATCTTGATGGTGCCTTCAGCCGCAGTGAACAGGCGTTTCTTGTTCTCTGTCAGGGCGATGCACTCGATCTCTATAGGAATCATGCGACCCTGGGCGGCATCAAGAGGACAGACAACAAACTGTCTTTAAACTGTCATGTCAGTTCAGCGTTATAGTGCTACTAGCAACACGCCACCTCAATACTTCTGCAAACTTGTAAGTTTCTCTTCTTGGCAGTTTATCTCCACAGCGAGGCAAAGTGTTACATCTTAAACTTCGACGTTTTTGCTCATTTGCATTCAGAAATAACTCCAGGCAATGACTGCAAATTGCAATCTGAAGATCAGTGCCTCAGATTAACCTAAAAACTTGCAGTTCCACCACACGTTATCCCACATATTAATAGACGCCCCTTGTATAAATACTGGATTGAACTCTAAAAAAGGGACATCAACGCAGTTATGAGTACAAGGTATATACATACACATAAACATATAGTACTACACCTATTATTTGCATACGATGTGAGTTATGGTCGATATCCCTCCGCCCAACTCTATGATATGAACATTTTCTGGTGCGCGTGTTAGCTGACGTCGACATGGAGCTCCTGCTAACTATCCAAGAGTGGCCATCTTTGTGATCGTTGGAACATAGGGTGAGGTGTGCATGCCATATGTGCTAACCAGTGCCATAATTTACTTCTTTAATTGTGACTCTAGGCCAGCATTCAAGTTACACCTGTAAAGCTAAAGGTGAAGGTGAGAGAATCGACACTATTGCTCTGGATTTTATCCCACACGGCTTAGTCTCTCTTCGCAGAACAGATCGCTTCCTGACGAGATCGTCGTATATAGAGCACCTCCGTAGCCCCTGCTACGAACTCAATGAACTCAATGGCGCCGCCGCGAAACCAACCTACAACTTTCAGAGTGCGAGGCAAATGGCTTAACCACTTCGCCACGCAGACCACGTAGTTACACATGAAAGTGGAACAGCCATAGGCCAATTATATGTGTAATATGGTGCAGAGCTATGATATGTACATGTGTAGGGAGACAGCCACATCGAAAATACACGTTTACAGCAACAGTGACGGAGTTGATGTACACAATACCTGGACTTTCTTACAGTGTGCCATCCCAAACTGCATGACTCTGGTGCCGGTGATGATATCCCAGACTCGAACCATTGACCCTCTGCACACACTCACCTGCACATCGAAGGTAAGTTCGTGGTGACAACAACATCAGCAACATGCTGACAGCCTGTTTTCCCAAAGACCTTTATTGTTTGTACAAAAACGCCAATTCACTGGGCACTAAACTGCTTGTCAGGGAGTCGCCGTGGTGTTAGCGGCTGGACGGCCGCCTGCGGATCAGAAGGTTGTGGGTTCGCGTACTGAGGGAGCAAGACTTTTTTTTTTCAAAAATCATCTTATCTTCCAGGTCGACGAAGCCTGAGTGGGTACCAGGTGCAGTCCTGGGAAGTAAATGCGGCCGGCGTGATGATGACCACATCCACCAAGTGCCGATTTGTCTACAAAAATAGGTCTAGCCCTATTTTCACAATACACCTAAAGGCGTGGAAAGGGGACCTGATTTTTTAAAATACATGTCTTCTACACTTGTCGCGCATTTGTGCTAATCTGCTTCGAATTCCCTAATGGTTTTTTACTACTACTACTACTGCTACTAGTACTATTACTGCTACTGCTCCTGCTGCTGCTGTTGCTGTTGCTACTACTACTACCACAACCACTATTACTACTGCTACTACTGCTACTACTACTACTACCCCTACTACTACTTACTAACTGCAAACTGCTGCTTGTTGTTGTTGTTCTTTTTCTTCATCTTATTCTTCTTCTTCTTCTTCTTCTTCTTCTTCTGCTTCTTCTTCTTTTTCTTCTTCTTCTTCTTCTTCTTCTTCTTCTTCTTCTTCTTCTTCTTCTTCTTCTTCTTCTTCTTCTTCTTCTTCTTCTTCTTCTTCTTCTTCTTCTTCTTCTACTTCTTCCTCTTCTTCTTCTACTTCTTCCTCTTCTTCTTCTTCTTCTTTTCTTCTTCTTCTTCTTCTTCTTCTTCTTCTTCTTCTTCTTCTTCTTCTTCTTCTTCTTCTTCTTCTTCTTCTTCTTCTTCTTCTTCTTCTTCTTCTTCTTCTTCTTCTTCTTCTTCTTCTTCTTCTTCTTCTTCTTCTTCTTCTTCTTCTTCTTCTTCTTCTACATCTTCTTCTTCTTCTTCTTTTTCTTCTACTTCTTCCTATATTTAATACTGTCATTATAATATTAGCATCATAACTATCACCATTAAGATCATGCCTTCTGAGAAATTGTTGTGTCATGCAGCGAGCTATGATACTGAAATGACCGTATTGAATATGACTGACAAAATGTGGGAGCATAAAACACTCACCACTTGCTCGAGCGGCGTGCTATACAGGGCTCCTACCAGCTTGTGGTCATGTGACCTCACCTCGACGTTTAGCCCCTCCACACGTTGCCGTATTAGCATGCACATTCTGGGACAATGCACAGTGAGAATAGAGAGATTATGGTAACACGGTAACACTTACAAAGCACCCAGCAAGACTGATCAGAATGTAGTAACACGGCAACTCTTACAAAGCACACAGCAAGACTGATCAGAATGTAGTAACACGGCAACTCTTACAAAGCACACAGCAAGAATGATCAGATTTTAGTAACACGGCAACTCTTACAAAGCACAGAGTGGGAACATATATTATTATGTAGTCGTCTCCTGATGTTCTATTACTATTATCATCATTGTCGTCGCTAATGTCGTCATAAGACAATAAACTCAGCATACAGAAAGAATCTCTGTTGAATTCAGTCGTCCTCTACACCAGGCTTGTTTGTTGTTTGTTTGTTTGTTTTAGTATCCAAAAGCCGTGAGTTGTTAACCCTAAGGCTCGGTGTTATGGATATCGCAACACTTCGGCCTTGATTCCATTGTATATACCGTAAATCTGGGAGACATGTGGCTTTTCTGCCTACCCCCGGGAGTGAACCCGGACCACAAGGAGTTCGTCACCCGGTCACCCAGCCTAAGAGTTAACAACTCATGGCTTCTGGATACTAAAACAAACAAACATTGTGGCAAACATGTGCCGGGAGATAGCCAGCAGCACCACCTACAAACTGACTAGTGTACAGCAAACGTTTTTCTCACGTGAACATTACATTAGTGGCGCCTAATGGACATTCTCTGAGCAGACAGCGCGCCTCCTCTCTCGTCTTTGCTTTCAACAGCTTTACAGAAGGTTATGGAATTTGGTGCACCGGATTTTAGTCTCGTTCACCTCCGGATTGTAGTCTTATTACAGAAACTGCGTGTTACGTGCATAAACATTTTTAGATCTGGCTTTTCTGTATGCAGGCTCTTGGTTCCTTGCCTCTCATTCAGATTTATTCCTACTTCGAGACATACCCCTAATTACTCGACTCCTACGACATACTTGTTAAGAAGGGAGTGGTTCCATGCTTGTTTTCCCCTACAACGGGGAACTGGAACCCCCACAGGGAGGTCTCTCCTGATCTACATCTCCGTTTCTGCACTTGGGTTAACATTCGTGTGTGTGTGTGTGTGTGTGAGTGGGTGGAGGTGCGTGCGTGCGCGTGTGTGTGTGGAGGCGGATGGGTGTGCGTGCGTATGTGTAGGTGTGTGTGTGCGCCCGTGTGTGTGTGGAAAGGGGTAGGTGTGCTGCCCGAATCTATAGGGAACAGACAGCAAAGTGAACACGCTGATCAAGAATCAAGAACATTATGAGCTATGTGCACTTTATTATTGTACATCAGTTGACAAACTGAAACAAAGAAAACACTCCAGCTTCTGGTTTCAAACTCGCTTACTTTTAACATGCAACTGGCCACTTTGCCTATAACTCCATTCAGTGGTGTTGATAGCAAGACCCTCACTTCATGCAGGTACAAGAATGGCAAATCCCCCCCCCCCCCCCAATTCTTCCTTAATCTGCCCTGTAATGCCTGGCAGCGTCAGGGGAGGAAGCGATCTGTTTTCTTCGTATATAGCCTTTTTCAGTGTCTCTTGATATTTCTGCCGTACATATTCTGCGTGGTCTATCACTGGTTCTGTTACCACCATATCTGTATAACATTGCTCTCTTAGTGCCCTGCCGGTCTTGTTACAGAGCCAAACATTTTGATCTGTTGTCTACTGATAAGGTTCATTACTGGTTCTGTGCCGACTCTCCATCTAATATTATCGTCACACCTAGCGTAATACGCAAACACTTCATTTCTGTCATAACTATTTTTCTTCTGTTTGTCCTTCTGTATATTCTTTAACATGTATTTTATTCGACCCCTCCCATGTTGATTAACCAACTCCACCATTCACACCCAGGTGCGGATACCTTTCCCCAACGTACCCTATCTAAAACCTACGGCACCAACTGGGTCTGCTGCCTTCTGTGCGTTTCCCAACCTCTGAAACTTTTCTTGACCTAATTTCGTCATTCTTCGTCATATTGTCACACCGTGACCTACTGTCAACGGGAGAACCTGGGACAAGACAACGGGGGACTCACTCGTACGACCCCATGAGACACATCCTGCGAACACTGTTCAAATATACTGTGTTGATTTGCGAGTTCCCCATTCTGACTGTCTGTCCTGGAATACGCTGTTTTAGAAAGAAGTCAATCAGTTAATGAATCAGTCAACTCAAACATCAGTCAGTTTATGAATCAATTAATTCATACATCAGTAAATTAATGAATCAGTCAACTCAAACATCAGTCAGTTTATGAATCAATTAATTCATACATCAGTAAATTAATGAATCAGTCAACTCAAACATCAGTCAGTTTATGAATCAATTAATTCATACATCAGTAAATTAATGAATCAGTCAATCCATGCATTAGTCAATTCATTTTTCAGTCAACACATACATCAGTCAATTCCTGAATCAGTTAATTCATACATCAGTAAATTCATGAATCATTCAAGCCATATATAAGTCCATTCACTTAAACATCAGTAAATTCTTGACCCAATCAGTTTATTCATCATTCAAACCATACATCAGTAAATCCATGAATCAGACCTAATTTATCCGTCAGTCAATCCGTTAGTGAACATACAAAACAGTGAAACCACAAGTCAGTTTATTCATTCGTCAGTCAACCTATTCATGAGTGTATAAATTAGGTAATCCTATAATATTTCATACTATATCAGTTAAGTGACCAATCTCACTGATTAACCAAACCCTGACTAGACAAACCTCCAGACGAACTGTCAGTACACTTTGAAACTAAACGATCGAAAGCCCGACTATCAGCAAACCATGAGACTGGACTATCCAAAACTAGACAGCAAACCCTGACACTGGACCACACAGAACCGGACTGTCAGCAAACCCTGAGACTGGATCACCCAGATCCGGACCGTCAGCAAACCCTGAGACTGAACCACCCAGACTGTCAGCAAACCCTGAGACTGGACCACTCAGAACCGGACAGTCAGCAAACCCTGGTACTGGACCACTCAGAACCGGACAGTCAGCAAACCCTGGGACTGGACCACTCAGAACCGGACAGTCAGCAAACACTGGGACTGAACAACCCAGAACCGGACAGTCAGCAAACCCTGGGACTGGAAAACCCTGAGCCGGACAGTCAGCAAACCCTGGGACTGGACCACCCAGAACCGGACAGTCAGCAAACCCTGGAACTTGACCACCCTGAGCTGGACTGTCAGCAAAGCCTGAACCAGACCATCCAGAGCCGGACTGTCAGAATCTCGCGAGACTAGACCAACTAGGGCCAAACAGTCATAAAACAGAAGACAGCGTAAGTACTGACCATGATGACCTCCTGAGACGACAGGTTGGAGATGATGATGGTCTTGCTGAGGTCTACGCTGATGCAGTAATTGTCCTCTTCGTTGATCTTCACATGTGCCACGGGTCGGACGTGACCTAGAACAGAGATAGCAGTCGGTCAGTGACTGTCTGAGAAGTCGGTGCAACTGAAGTTAATAAACAATTTTACCAAGCTTTTATCGTGAACACTGCTGTTGTTGGCAGTATGGATTTATGGTATAAATGATTTCAGGCAGCTTGGCTTTGTAATTCACCTGCCAGAGTTCGCAGTGGCGGCTTTATGCCTCATATAAGAAAAGAATAGAATTTGACTTGGGAGTGTGAACCCGTATATGCCAATTAATGGCAAGTCGTGCCGCCAGTTGATGGCAAGTTATTTAAATCATTGATCAGGTGTGAAGAATCAGAAAATCATATTGTGCAGATGCTGCTAGCAGGTGCTCCAGAGCAGGCTGGCCAGTGGTACAGGGTCTTGGTCATCTCGATTCTCATATCCTTGCCATGTCAATATTAGGTTTCTCTTTACATCCTTCACGTCTTCTTTGACAAGTCACAGCTAAACATCTCAGCTTGCATCTGTGCGGAATATCTGCAGACCGTGCGACATCTTCCGTTGAGCCATGAGAAACCGACGTGTCTGAATACACTTCTAAGACTGAAGGGACACGGAATGGCTACCTGCTTCATACAGCTCTGGGTGTATCATTCGTTGTTATTGTTGATTAGATAAAAATGGCTTTCATTGGCAGCAGATATTTCCAAAAGTGCGCAAGCTCCTCTCATAAATCACACAAAGGAAATGACAGTACAGCGCACGATCACTGTTAACTGTCGAGAGAATCTGAATATAGTTCTACCAGAGAAGCCCGTGACAACTTTTGTAATTTTAAATTGTAACCAGGACAGCGGCGTACTGGGGTTATTTCTGTTTGAATTCCTAGGCTGCTTGTATTTGATTCTCTAGGGTTTGTCGCACTGTCGATGATGAATGTGAGCAAACCATGACTAGTTGTTTTGTAAACATCCAGACGATCGAATCAGACAGAAATGGACAGTCTTAATGTCAAATTGCGATAAATCGCAACTACCCCTGATGTTTGCAACACATCGTCTAGCTTATGATACTACAACATCTAGCCTTAGAATTTAGGTGGAGGCAGTCACAGCAGCTTTCCGCTGGATTGAGAACCAGCTAAACACACAAATTGTATATGTAACAGAATCTTCTTCTTCTCTTCCACCTTTTACCTCATCGAAGTGTCGGGGGGGGGGGGGGGGGGGGGTGTAATGTTCGTTGATGAGCTCTGTCAAGAGCACTATTAAGACTGATGTTCATTTCTGTAAGGCTGTTCTTAATGCCATTACTCCATATTTTCCGAGGTCTTCCACTCGCTCTATACCCGTTGCAACGTTTTAGTGTGGCTCGCTGTGGCGGATAGTACCAGGGCATTCTTGTTAGGTGTCCAAACCACTTCATGTGTTGTTCTTTGATGACCTGTAAGACTGGCTTTTTTCCTAGCATTCGTCTGATTTCATATTCTGTCTTTGTAAGAGAATCAAAGCACGATAAGAAAGGGGAGACACGCATGCCTTGTGCAGAGCCGCAGACGTCACTTCAGAGCTGACGGTTGTAAACGTTCTTTTGATATTTTCTCTGGGGCGGAAAATGAGTGTTAGGAAATGAACAGACAGACAGACTAGCTGGTTTTGCCACCAATGGGTGGTAAATTTATGCGTGGCAAGCTAGATGTGGTCAAGGCCCTTTTGGAAGCAATTGAACAATGCTGAGGTACTAATCGATAAATTTTTTCTGGAGAGAAAGTTACAGCTGGGAGTAACCAGGCGATCTGGTCGACACCTTACACTCAGGGGAAAGGCACAACAGATGTATAATCTAATGCTACTGGCACCATCGGAATTGGAACTCTTAGCTGCCTGCTGAAGATGATGACAGGGCGATTATGAGAATGTCCCCGCTGCCGTGATGTCAGTTCTTAGTTCAGCACTCAACACTCGGTAACGTGCAGATATCTATGACGTTTTATGTACACATAATGTCTGTATCAAAGTGATGCGTCCAAGGTTTTATATAATGCCAGGTGCTGAGTAATGCACGGTAATAATGTATGTAAGATTCCAAGTAATGTATATCAGATTCCATGTAATGTATGTAGGATTCCATGTAATGTATGCAAGATTTCCATTAATGTATGTACGAGTCCGTGTCATATATGTAAGATTCCATGTAATGTACGTAGGATACCATGTAATGTAAGTAAGATTCCATGTAATGTATGTAAGAGTCATGTAATGTATGTAAGTTTTCATGTAATGGATACAAATTGTTTGTAATGGGTGAAAGATGCTATGTAATGTATTAAGAAGCTAAGTGATGCATGTTAGGTACCCTGTAATATATGTAAAATACTATGTTATGTATACAACATACGCGTAATACATATAAGATACTACGTCATGTTTGTAAGATACTACGTCACGTTTGTAAGATACCATGCTATTTATGTAACATGCTTCGTTATTACGTAAGATACTATCTTCTCTATGTAAGATGCTAAGCGATGTATGTAGGATTCTATGTAGTCCATTTAATATAGGTTAGTTGCGTATCCTTACAGGACGTTGCAGAACCAACCTCAACAGTCCCTGGCTGTTGTGTGGTTTTTCTAGACAAATTTACGTCCTGTAGTTTGCCATTGCTTCTGGACGGTCGGCTTTCTTGATACCACAATCGAAACCAACGCATGGCCAGCAGCTGGGATCTAACCCGGCATCCCGGCATTACGAAGCGTTCTCATCGACTTAGGCCATGTAATTTATCTAAGATACTATACAATTCCTGCAAAAGAATACACCTGTAATGAATGTACCATATTATATTCGTATTATCTACAACACGGTATATCTATTGACACATTTGACGTCTGTAAAATACTATACCTATTTGCGATGCCTATGACATAATATAACAGCTAGAGCAGTACAGGTATATATCACTGAGAAAGAAACAGTGTACGATGACGAGTGCGGTTGAGTACCTTCCAAGACGGCGACCACCTTGTGAGGGATGTACGGGTTGTACATCCAAATGTTGCAATCGATACCTGCCGCTACAAGGATGTTCAGTTCATGACTGCAACAGACAAGCTGACCATAAATGGACCGTTGCGTGTATGTGTGTGTGTGTGTGTGTGTGTTGGGGGGAGGGGGTGAAGGGGTGAAGGGTTGGGGAAGGTAGTGGGGTAAGTACATGTAATACAGTTGCGTTTACTTTACAGGAGTCGGCTCTGTGGCTAAGTCGATGCGAACGCTTCGTAAACCCGGGGTGCCGGGTTCGATCCCAGCAGCGGGCTATGCGCCCTGCGTTGGTTTCGACAGTGGTATCAGGGGGCCGATCGTCCAGCAAGCACTGGCAAACTATTAGACGTACATTGCCTAGAGAAACCCCACAACAGCCAGGGGCTGCTGGAGTTGGTTTTGCAACGTCCTGTAAAGGATACGCAACTAACCAAGTACTTTACAGGTCGTTGCAAAACCAAAAACAGCATATTTTTGTTGCGTGGTTTTCTAGGCATATTTACTTTCAGTAGATTGCCACTGCTACTGAACGGTCAGCTCTCGGTACCACTGTCGACACCAATGTGAGACAAATCATCCGCAACTGGGATTAAACCCGGCAACCCGGCATCACGAAACGACCTCATACAACCTAGGAAATAAAGGACCCTTTTCCACATCTTAAGACGTATAGTGCTACACCTTTATTTTATAGACCAATCGACCCTCGGTGGGTATGGATGTGGTCAACAACACGCCGGCCGCCTGTACTTCCCAGGACTGTACCTGGTACCTTTTGTAAGGTCGATCTGGCAGAAAAGGATTTTTCCATCTCCTTTCGGATTTAAGCCCATAACCTTCAGATCCACAGGTACGCTACACCACGACAGCCGCCGACACAGTCTAGCGGAGTGTATTTTTCCCGACAGAACTCACAAGGCGAATTTATACTGGCACAGAAGGAGGACCAGGTGTTGTCTACTGCAACAGAGATGCAACACTAAAGAAAGTAACAGAGACAAATTAGGAGTGAAAACCGTTGAGAGAAAGGGAGAGGAATGAAGAGACAGAAAGAGACAAGACAGAATAAAAGGAGAAAACAGAGGGGTAATTTATAAAAAGGGTAGGGGACGAAGTGCGATTCTCAAAACTGCAATATATGGTTTGATACAAAGAGAATGAAGGTGAAATGAATATGGGAAGCTCAAAAAACAAAATGCTAAAAAATTAGAAGAATTAAAAAAAAAAAAAAAAAAAAAAAACACACACACACACACACACACACACACACACACACACACACACACACACACACACACACACACACACACACACACACACACACACACACACACACACACACACACACACACACACACACACACACACACACACACACACACACACACACACACACACACACACACACACACACACACACACACACACACACACACACACACACACACACACACACACACACACACACACACACACACACACACACACACACACACACACACACACACACACACACACACACACACACACACACACACACACACACACACACACACACACACACACACACACACACACACACACACACACACACACACACACACACACACACACACACACACACACACACACACACACACACACACACACACACACACACACACACACACACACACACACACACACACACACACACACACACACACACACACACACACACACACACACACACACACACACACACACACACACACACACACACACACACACACACACACACACACACACACACACACACACACACACACACACACACACACACACACACACACACACACACACACACACACACACACACACACACACACACACACACACACACACACACACACACACACACACACACACACACACACACACACACACACACACACACACACACACACACACACACACACACACACACACACACACACACACACACACACACACACACACACACACACACACACACACACACACACACACACACACACACACACACACACACACACACACACACACACACACACACACACACACACACACACACACACACACACACACACACACACACACACACACACACACACACACACACACACACACACACACACACAGAGATTCCAGGATGGTGATGAGTAGGAAAACTAAAGTCTTGGTGACAGCAAACAATGAGATGTTAACAGCGATGCTGAATACTGAGACACATGTACAACCCACGTCAGTGGCGGTCAACTTATGTGACTAGACAATGGTACATCTCAAGTCAGGGTGTTACATATTTGTGACTACACAAGTAAAATGTACAACTCAAGTCAGTGGTGTTACTTTTATGTGACTCATCATCATCATCATGTAGCAGGTCCTTTGCAGAAGGTCGCTCTTATCACAGTCTGCCTGAAAGAAACTCGGTCTCTCGCCAGTTCTCCCGCCTCATGTACTTTCACACTCGAGGAGTCACTTATATCATATGGCCATCTTCGTGTCGGTCGGCCCCTGCCATTCCTTCCTGGTACCATGCTTTCTGCTATAACTTTTTTCCAATCCGTCGTGGCGCTTGAAATGACCAAAATATTTCAGCTTCCGAGACATGATGCTGTTTATTAGCCGATCGTCCTTGATGTTCAGATCTTTTAAGATGTCAATATTTCTCATTTCTTTGACCAAGATATTCTGAGAATCGTTCTATAGCATTTCAGCTCAAAAGCCCCTATTCTCTTCCGTAAGGACTGAGAGATAGTCCACGACTCACATCCGTATGTAGCCACAGGAAAGATGCATGCTCTCAAAATTCTATTGTTTACCTCGTTGCTGGTTCTCAACAATAGACTTTTAAGGCTGTTCAGTCTTTGCATTCCTTTATGTGACTACACAAGCAAAATTAAGAACTCAAGTCAGTGGTGTTACCATACTGTAACTACAAAATCTAAATGCACAACTCAAGTCAGTAGTGTTACTTTTTCTTGACTTACAAGCTAAATGTACAACGCAAGTCAGTGGTGTTCCTTTTATGTGACTACACAAGCTAAATGTACAACTCAAGTCAGTGGTGTTACTTTTATGTGACTACACAAGCTAAATGTACAACATAAGTCAGTGGTGTTACTTTTATGTGACTACACAAGCTAAATGTACAACTCAAGTCAGTGGTGTTACTTTGCCGCAAGTTCTTATGCTCAGTACTAAGACAGGAAGACACAGGAAACAGAAACATGCCCTGTAGACACTATGTTATAGTATGTTGTCCAGAAATAACTAAATGAATCATTACTGATTTAGGAATTGACATCATAGCAAATCGGACATACCCAGAGATGCTCCGACTCCTGCAGCAAATGACGTAAGGTATTGATGCTAACTGTCTCCGTAGCACAGTGATTATACACACGCCGATCTCTTCCTCTCATCCGTCCCTCTTTGCCAGATCCACACCTAATTATTGTTCCCACATTCTTGCTCGTGTTATTTCATCTAATCTCGTTTCCTCATGCCAAAAGTTGTTGATATGTGGTCTTCAGAATATCTCCCTTGTCCAATACGAGTGCTCCCGTAGCTTTCGCTTTTGTGGCCATAAAATCTACTCTTTTAGTCCCTCGCACTCCTGCATATCCCGGACTGTATATCCATGTGATTCCCTGCAATGTTGGCGTACTAGTGCATGGTATCCACTCATGCCAGGTTAGTCCATTTTGAACTTTCTGCAATACTGACTGAGAATCAGGGCACTAACTTGTAAATAAAAGTAAGGGCACACACTGGTAAATGAAAATTAGGGTACTAACTTGTACATGGAAGTAATGACACTAGTTTGTCACATAAAGTAAGGGCACTAATTTATGAATTAAAGTAAGGTCACCAACTTACAAATGAAAGTAAGGGCACTAACTTGTAAATAAAATTTAGGGCACTAACTTGTAAATGAAAGTAAGGGCACTAACTTGTAAATAAAATTAAGGGCACTAACTTGTAAATGAAAGTAAGGACAATAACTGGTAAATGAAAGTGAGGACAATAACTGGTAAATGAAAGTGAGGACAATAACTGGTAAATGAAAGTGAGGACAATAACTGGTAAATGAAAGTGAGGACAACAACTGGTAAATGAAAGTGAGGACAATAACTGGTAAATGAAAGTGAGGACAATAACTGGTAAATGAAAGTGAGGACAATAACTTGTAAATGAAAGTAAGGACAATAACTGGTAAATGAAAGTGAGGACAATAACTGGTAAATGAAAGCGAGGACAATAACTGGTAAATGAAAGTGAGGACAATAACTTGTTAATGAAAGTGAGGACAATAACTGGTAAATGAAAGTGAGGACAATAACTGGTAAATGAAAGTGAGGACAATAACTTGTAAATAAAAGTGAGGACAATAACTGGTAAATCAAAGTGAGGACAATAACTGGTAAATGAAAAGGAGGATAATAACTTGTAAATGAAAGTAAGGACAATAACTGGTAAAGGAAAGTGAGGACAATAACTGGTAAATGAAAGTGAGGACAGTAACTTGTAAATGAAAGTGAGGACAATAACTGGTAAATGAAAGTGAGGACAATAACTGGTAAAGGAAAGTGAGGACAATAACTGGTAAATTAAAGTGAGGACAATGACTTGTAAATGAAAGTGAGGACAATAACTGGTAAATGAAGTGAGGACAATAACTGGTGAATGAAAGTAAGGACAATAACTGGTAATTGAAAGTGAGGACAATAACTGGTAAATGAAAGTGAGGACAATAACTGGTAAACGAAAGTAAGGACAATAACTGGTAAATGAAAGTAAGGACAAAAACTGCTAAATGAAAGTAAGGACAATAACTGGTAAATGAAAGTAAGGACACTAATTTATAAATTAAAGTAAGGGGTCTAATTTATAAATTTATGGAAGTGCACTAACTTGTAAATGGAAGTAATGACACTAGTTTGTAAATGAAAGTAATTTATAAAATAAAGTAAGGGCACTAATTTATAAATTAAAGTAGGTCACCAACTAACAAATGAAAGTAAGGGCAGTAACTTGTAAATAAAATTAAGGTTGCTAACTTGTAAATGAAAGTAAGGGCACTAACTTGTAAATAAAATTAAGGGCACTAACTTGTAAATAAAAGTAAGGGCACTAACTTGTAAATGAAAGTAAGGGTACTAACTTGTAAATGAAAGTAAGGGCACTAACTTGTAAATGAAAGTAAGGGCACTAACTTGTAAATGAAAGTAAGGGCACTAACATGTAAATGAAAGTAAGGGCACTAACTTGTAAATGAAAGTAAGGGAACTAACCTGTAAATGAAAGTAAGGGCACTAACTTGTAAATAAATGTAAGGGCACTAACTTGTAAATGAAAATAAGGGCACTAACTTACAAATGAATGTAAGGGAACTCAGTTTTAAGTTAAAGCATCGGCACTAGGTTGATAATGAAAGTAAGGCCACTAACTTACAAATGAAAGTAAGGACACTAACTTATAAATGTTAATAAGAACACATACTGGTAAATCGAAGTGGAAGCATCGCTTCTCGGCCTTTTGGCTAAGATCCAAGTTTAGTACTGCAGCACTTGGTCTGGCTAAAAGGGCCGGATCGGTCCCGAACACATGGGTGCAACCAAATCAGCAAGAGCCATCTAAAAAAGAAAACTATATGCGAGCGGCTTCCCCGTGGGGAGACCAGCCAGGCGTAGAAAAAAAAAAAAAAACATTGGTAAATGAAAGAAAGGGCACATACTGGTAAAAGAAAGAGAGGGCACACACTGGTACATGAAAGTGAGGGCACGTACTGGAAAATAAGAGTGAGGGCACACACTGGTAAATGAAAGAAAGTGCACACACTGGTAAATGAAAGGAATTGCACTAGCCTGTAGTCGAAGCAAAGAACACCCTTGTAGCAAGCGAAGTAGGTGGGCGCTTTCTTGCTGGTGTCCACGTGACTCATGTACAAGGCGGTGCTGTCGTCCATGCAGCAGGAGACGAAGCTGTTGGCTTGTGGGATGTACTTGACCTGCGGTGAGGGCACCCGACATTGTCAGTGTCTCATATGTCTCTACATCTCCCTCTCTCTCTCAGTCTCTCTCGCTCTCTCTCTCTCTCTCTCTCTATCTCTCTCTCTCTCTCTCTCTCTCTCTCTCTCTCTCTCTCTCTCATGCTTTTGTGTTCTTTTATAATATTCATAATATGCATATAAGCATATGATCATAACATGCTTTTTTAGTATAATTCATCAGCTGTGTGAAAGATGGTTGACTGGAAGGGCCGAATGTATGACGGGCCTGCGTGCCAAACTTGTGACCCTTTGAAAATAAAGTTCGTTCGTTCGCTCTCTCTCTCTCTCTCTCTCTCTCTCTCTCTCTCTCTCTCTCTCTCTCTCTCTCTCTCTCTCTCTCTCTCTCTCTCTCTCTCCGTGTGTGTATATTTGATATGTGCGTGTGGGATTTATATGTATGTATGTACGTATGTATGTATGTACGTATGTATGTATGTATGTATGTATGTATGTATGTATGTATGTATGTATGTATGTATGTATGTATGTATGTATGTATGTACGTACGTACGTACGTACGTACGTAAGTATGTATGTATGTATGTATGTATGTATGTATGTATGTATGTATGTATGTATGTATGTATGTATGTATGTATGTATGTATGTATGTATGTATGTATGTATGTATGTATATATGTATGTATGTATGTGTGTGTATGTATGTATGTATGTATGAATGTACGTACATACATACATACGTATGTATGTATGTATGTATGTATGTATGTATGTATGTATGTATGTATGTGTGTATGGATGGATGGATGGATGTATGCGTGTATGTGTACGTGTTTGTTTGGTATATTATCTTCCTTATCAAGTGGCGTGCCAGCTGGTGTAGGCGTTGATGCATTTCCTCAGATCTCGGTCTTTGGTGTTCTGTATCAGTTCCACTGATATTTTTCCATGCCACCACCTTAACCCATCCACCATCATTTGAAACTTTAACGCATACAGAATAAAGCTATGCAAGTAATTTTTGTATGTACAAGAAATACACAGTTAGTATGTGTGCGATTTACACTTGCACTGCCTACTATTGCAGATAGGCGTACAGTTCTGCAAGCGACGATATATCTCAAACAAGATGCGTCTTCTGCATGAAGCCCTGGATAGAGCTAAGGGTCACAGACTGAAAAGAGGAAGGTCTTAAATGCAAGCTGAATACACAGTTAGACATGTGTGCAAGCTAGATAAATTTGAGCGAGGAGAGGAGTGGGAAAAAGTGTCCGAGCAAGTTTTATACTTGTGTAGGGTTCTTTTCATTTTATTTCGTGAGTGCAGAGACTGGCCAGCTGGCGCTGCAGAATCAGAGGTTCAACAAATGATTCATGCAGTTCGCACCCGGGTGATGTAATTTATCTATTCAGATGGCTCTGTATTGAGGGGCAGACGAAATGTGTGGGTGTTCATAGCAAAGGCAAATGTACGTCGCTTAGTGCAGCAAAGTCTGGCATATGATATCACACGGTCTGGTTTGAGAAGGGAGGTAGAGGCAGTCACTGCTGCATTCCGCTGGTTTGAGAATCAGCTGTACACACATGTCGTCATTGTAACTGACTCACAGAGCATGTTGAAAAACGTGGAGACAGGGATGCTTCCTACACAGTGGCAAGCATCACTTCAGAGATCCAGGGTAGTTAGCGTCGTTTAGATCGTTTTTTCTCTAAGTCAGGCCAGTGTGTTGGAAAAAAGAGCAGGCAGATAGACTGGCCGGTTCTGCACTACTTGGTGTTGAATTGATGTATGACAAGCTAGACGTTGTGAGAGCCCTTCGGGACCGAGTGAACAGTGCAGAGGTACAAAAAGATCACTACGATCTGAGGAGAATGGCGCTGCGGGGAGAAACCAGGGGATCAGGCACAAGCCCAACACTCAAGGAAAAGGTGAAACGAATATACAATCAGTTCTCATCGGAACTGGAAATCTTTGCTTGCTGCTTAAGATGGGAATGGAGCGCTTATGGGTGTGTCCCGAGTGTTGTGATGTCGATTCCTAAGTCAGCATTCAACATTTCACCATCCTTTCTTTTGGTTCACTTTTGCTTCTTTAAATAGTGATACTTCCCGTATTCACGATATTTTCCTGAGCTCTTTTTCTTATCATATGACCAAAGCACTCTGTCTCGTTCTTATTCTTGTATATGTACTAGGACAGAGACGCCCTAAATACCAAGATAAAAATAAAGGAAAATAGTTCGTTAGGTTGGGACTAGAAACAGGATTTTTCTAGTCCAGACACGAGATCTTCTGTGTAAAGTCTAATGAGCCAGGCAACAAATAAACAAACTACACACACTAACCACAAACCCTAATCTGAAGCAAAGCAACTGGAACTATAAATATCACATTCACATCTATTTATTTCACTGAACATCATCTAAGGTCTTCACAAATAATAATGCATTAAAATTCACAACGTGTTAGAAAATACCCTACGACAGATGGAACCTATCTATGCCTACACATCTCAACCCACGTTGCGTAAAACCATTGTATGCAACGGACAAATCAGAACTACATGTTTCTCGTCCGAACACCAGAGGCCTAAGAGGGCGAACTGGCCACTCCCGTCTGTTTTATCACTTCCTGACTCCCAACTTGGCCAGGTTTTTAGCTCGCTTAAATAAGCCTAATTCAATTTATATAACAGTCGTCCAGCGCCTGTTTCATATATAATGTGCTACTTTCATTAGTATATATATATATATATATATATATATATATATATATGACATAAATTTGATGAGTGGGAGGGTAGTAGGTGGATTTAGTTGTGGGGTGGGGGGTGGGGTGGGGATCAAAGACTATCTCTATATCTGAGCAGACAATGATTGTATTAGACACGTGCGATTTCTATTTTCTTTCATTTCCATTTAGCCAAACTATGCCACAGCAACGCGTGGCCGGGTACAGCTAGAATATATATATATATATATATATATATATATATATATATATATATATATATATATATATATATATATATGCATTTATTATAATTGGGTCATTATTCAAGATGGAGTCGTTTCAGCCTATTAACTTTTCGAGTCCCAGAGTGTTTTGCATTACGGGCCCAAGGGGTAGTAAAAAAAAAACATAAAATCGGCCCATCATGCGTTCACTGGGCGTCTAGGTAAGAACATCTGAACGTATGATGTTTTCCATGGGACTCAAAGAGTCAAGTGGGGAGTTTAGTGGTCAGTTGGAATCATTGTATATGAGACTATGACTTTTTAATTTAAAAAAAAAGAGAAACAATAAGGTTAGGTCATACGATTCTGCTCCACCAATATGGTGCCGTGTGGACTTGTTAGGTGAAGGTGGTCATTTGAGTGGTTAGGTCAATGAATCTATGTTGGAGCTTTCCTGGGCTGTGTGGCACGTAGTTTCCCAGAAAATAGAAGCGGCCACTGTGACAATGACTACATGACTCATGAACTGCAGATTTAGTCAACAATATGGCGCCAAAACCATATGACATGAGGTTCAGATGTTTTTATCCGTTGTGTACCTACCTCCTTAATCCAGTTTTTGTGTATGCCTTTGTACATCCTAAGAGTGACGAACGAGTACTCGCCCTTGACTAGGTCAGAATACCACAACTCGTTGCAGACTGTGGAGTAGAGTGGACCGTTCATAGACAGGCAGGTGTAAACACAACTTTCCTCTGCTCTGATTGTCTGTCTGTGTATCTGTTTGCATATTTGTTTATCTATATATGCCTGCTTGTCCATGTATTTGTCTGTCCATCTGTGTACCTATCGGTAAGCATTTGTCTATCGACCGGTATACATTTATGATTACCAATACATAACCATCCATCAGTCCGTATACTGGTTGATAGACTGACCGCCTATGCTGTAAAAGTTATATTATTCAAACTACATGGATGTGGTGTTCGTGTGTGTGTGTGTGTGTGTGTTTGTTTGTGTGGGTGCGCACCTATTTAGACCTTCTCTCCACTTGTCTTCAGGTGATGTGCTGAAACCTTACCTGTCACCTCCTCACATCCCTGTATATCTCTCCTCAGATAGCAGACTCCAGCAAGGGCTCCTGGCACCTCGCTGGATTCAGCCTTGGATACGGAAACATAATGACAGCATAGCGCCAGGTCAGTTGGCCTCAGCCTAATAAGTGCTGAGCCTCTTGGAAGTTCATGCGACCTGAACGTCAATTCCTCTAACTGAATACTCATCGTCTTCTAGAATATTCACAACCAAAAAGTCGACTGCGTGTGTGTGTGTGTGTGTCTGAGTGTGTGTGAGTGTGTGTGTCTGAGTGTCTAAGTGTGAGTGTGTGTGTGTGTGTGAGTGTGTAAGTGTGTGTGAATGTGTGTGAGTGTGTGTGTGTGTGTCTGAGTGTGTGTGCGTGTGTGTGAGTGTGTGTGAGTGTCTGAGTGTGAGTGTGAGTGTGTCTGTGAGTGTGTCTGTGAGTGTGTCTGTGAGTGTGTAAGTGTGTGTGAGTGTGTGTGAGTGTCTGTGTGTGTGAGTCTGTAAGTGTGTGTGTGAGTGTGTGTGAGTGTGTGTATGTGTGTGAGTGTGTGCGTGTGTGTAAGTGTGTGTGTAAGTGTGTATGTGTGAGTGTGTGTGTAAGTGTGAGTGTGTAAGTGTGTGTAAGTGTGTACGAGTGTGTGTGTGTGAGTGTGTCTGAGTGAGTGTGTGTGTGAGTGTGTGTGTGTGTGTGAGTGTGTCTGAGTGAGTGTGTGTGCGTGTGTGTGAGTGTGTGTGTGTGAGTGTGTGTGAGTTTGTGTGTGAGTGTGTGCGTATGTGTGTATGAGAGAGACATGTTATTTCCCTCTCTAAAAATCCTATATTTATCATTTTAAATAACAAGCAGAAGAACTTGGCAACCTTCAGAAATTATACCACTAAACATGTAGGACAATCACAATTCGGTACCTTCTCTGATCCGTACACCGAACATGGGCGACATCTGCGAAAGGTCAAACTCCAGAATGGACACCGAGCCTGAGGTGTCGCCCCACAGTAGCACAGCTACCTGTTCAATCTCCAGACCTGCCCAGTAGCTCATGCAGGTGACACAGTGAGGCAGACGTCGCAACCAGTACCTGAGAATGGCATCACCCCATGTGTCCCTGACACCAACAGTAACACAAAACAAGAAAGACATCACAGAAGACTGAAACACAACTGCCACGTATTGACATGTGTGTCACACGCCGCCATCAACACACCCTCAGACAAGGTCTAAGTTTCTACCCCACTGCGGTAACTATGGTGATCCGGAGACATGGAGATGGTATTCTACATGAGCTGTATAGTGTCATCCGTTAGTTCTATCAACGTCGCAGGGAAAGCCTAATAGTTTGAGAATGGCTTATATGCAAAAATAAAATCACCTAGCCTTAAGAGCTCCTTTTAGTCTGATCTGACTGAAAGAAGGTGCACGTATAAGCCGGGAGCCTTCAGTCACACAAACTGAAGTTCAAGTTCTCGGGATCTTGTCTTCTTTCAAGCAGGAGCTTTCGACAGATTCCAAGGTTATTTCTTATACAACGAAGCTATTGCCGCCAGAAGGCTCTAGATCCCATGCTGTGATGTCAGTACCCAACATTCTCATGTTGTGGCTTTTAATCTTTGCCTGATCGTTCACTTCTTTTGTCCCAGTTGGAACGTGCCCTCCAGTGGATGTCAATTTGAATGCATCTATCTGACAGGGGATCCACGTGACTTTGCTTTGGTGACTTGTGTGCTGTATGCTCATCACGTGACATCACACGTAAGTATGTGCTCACTGGGGCATGGCCAAGCTGCACGTGGACAATGTTTATGAGAAATGTTTCGTCTCTACTCTGGGTGAACTACAGAAACAACATTAACTACCCAGCAGCGAATGAGTCAACCCTTCAAAGTTGCGGGTGTGGATGTTTGAAGTGTATGCGTAATTCTAAGAATGGAGCAGCTAGTATTTTGTGTCGTTTCAAGAGAAACTAACTGGTAAATTGGCGACAATTACCAGTGACTGAAGCAAGTTACTGGGAAACTGGTGACCATTAACAGTGACCGAGGGAGATTGGGAGACATGATGCGAAACAGTGCAAGCCAGTGAAGGAGGGAGACAAGGAGACATGATGCGAAACAGTGCAAGCCAGTGAAGGAGGGAGACAAGGAGACATGATGCGAAACAGTGCAAGCCAGTGAAGGAGGGAGACAAGGAGACATGATGCGAAACAGTGCAAGCCAGTGAAGGAGGGAGACAAGGAGACATGATGCGAAACAGTGCAAGCCAGTGAAGGAGGGAGACAAGGAGACATGATGCGAAACAGTGCAAGCCAGTGCCGTGATAGAACACCATCCACAGAAATGTTAGCAACAGCTGGGGTGGTTATATGGCGAGAAACATTAACGCTTTCATCATCTAGCAAGGAATACGATGATGATGATGCTTACTTGGCTTATAATTGTTTGTCTCTCGCTGACATCCTAGTTATATTTGGGCATGACGAACAAATTAGCTGGTCTGTAGAAGTATCCCAAAAGACAACAAAACCCCATAATAAAGTAAACAGACATTTGGCATCTCACAATGGGAAATTTCAAATACCCGCCATCTGAACTAGCCTTCCGGTCATTAAGGGTTAGATAAATTAGTTGCGTATCCATTAGAGAACGTTGAAAAATCAAAACAAGCAATTTTTGGCTATCCTCCGAATAACGGGCACAAAAGATGGCGGCCGCAAAACATCCTAACAGAGCCTCAGTCACGTGTCAATGCGCACTTGGGGTGACTTAATTTGCGGTTTTTCGACGACTACCGCCACAGTCAAAGAGTCCCACACGCAGCTCGCGCGGCGTGGATTGGGGCTAAACTAGATGGCTAGGACTCTCGAGCAAAGCTGCAGGAGATGAGGAAGCTGCTGCTCGTGAGTCCTAGCCATTTAGTTTAGCCCCAATCCACGCCGCGTGAGCGTGAGCGGCGTGGGGAACTCTTAGTGGTGGCGGTAGTCGCCGGAAAACTGCAAATTAATCGCTCCAAGTGCGCAATTGACACGTGACCGAGGCCCTCGTTTTGGCCGCTATCTTTTGTGCCCGTTATTCGGAGGATGGCCCAATTTTTTTTTTTTTTTTTTTTTTTTTTTGTTGAGCTGTTCCTTTTTAAAAAAAAAATACTAAGCAATCTTCCGTTCAGTGGTTTGCCACTGCCTCTGAATGGTCAGCTCTCGATACCATTGTTGACAACAACGCAAGGCAGTCTGCTGTCAAACTGAACAGGGCTTTGATCGAGCTGGGTATCTCGAAGTTAAAAACAGCCTTGCAATGCCTTAGCCACAAACGTCGACCCACCTTTAAGGAAAAACAAACAACAAAACAAGTCTTTTCTATGGTGTTTAATCTCCAACATTGACTTACTTCTTGGTCCAGCCTTGCTGGGTGTAGTCATAGAAGGAGATGTCCCGAGCCGTGGTGGCCACAGAGATGAAATTGTTGTGGTACATAGCCACCATATCTGTGTACCAGGACCCGTCCTTCCGGTCACGTGATGTCAGGTTGGCGTAACCCTTGTTTCTCATCCGAGATGACCACACGGACATCATGCCCTCCCGACTGAGGACCAGATATTTACCTGTTGAGTTCAGATAAACATTTATGACCCGAGGTTAGAAAACATTTTCCGGGTAAATAACAAAACTCACATGTTGAGTTGATCTGAGCTGATTCAAGAACCGACATCACAAAATGCGTTGCATTTCCATAAGCGCTTTGTTCCCATCTTCAGCAGCCAGCGTTCCAGTACCAGTAGCATCAGTAGCAGTCTTGTTTTTCCTTTGAGCGTCGAATATTGGCCTGTGTGTTGTTGTAGTCTATAGTATGTACTATACTAGTGTGGAGTATGTGTTGCTAACATCTAGAATGAACTGTGATACTCCCAAAGTGGGCGCTACCGCTCTCTGGAGGCGCTAGGACTGTCCAGGTGCAGAAGCAACCTCAAGAGCCGTTGGATGGACATTGAAGGGAAAAAAGGTAGAGAGGTTGGTAGGTAGGTGCATTGCTAAAAATAATCGTCATGTTCAACCAACAACCACGAAGAGAGAGAGCTTTAGGTTATAATTGTGACCAGGTTGTGTGCGCCACATAAAATGGCTAAGCATGGCACGCCCCCAAAAGCCCAGAAATAGACTCCTGCAGTGTCGATGCGATCAAAGGAGACAGACACAAATACAGTTCCGAATAGCGACGAAGTCGTCTACGGGTGAGCGAAAATGCGATCAGGTCGCCGATGAAATTAGAGAAGTGTGTGCATGTGTGTGTGTGTATATGTGTGTGTCTGCACACACACACACACACACAGAGAGAGAGAGAGAGAGAGAGAGAGAGAGAGAGAGAGAAAGAGAGAAGGATAGAGGTAGAGGGGGAGAGAGAGAGAGCATTTTGATAAACTGATGTTATGTAACAAAATGAAATCGTAGAGACTGATCAAATTTCAAAAAAACCAAATACTGTACATTATGTTATAGGCAATCAGGCACTTCCAGCAGTTCCCAGCAATAATCACAAAAACGAACATAGTCAAAGCAAAAAAGTCTGTTACGTTACACACTCGGAAATCATTGTCTTCAGTAGCTTCAATGACAATGTTGGCTTCAGTGACAATGTTGGCTTCAGTGACAATGGTGGCTTCAATGACAATGTTCGCTTCAATGACAATGTTGGCTTCAATGACAATCTTGGCTTCAATGACAATGTTGGCTTCAATGACAATGCCATCATTTTATAAGGTGCCTACTGATTACACGACTTTAAAAAAAAAAAAAAAACCCTAATTGGAAGGTGGTTTTCATACTACATATATGTGTGTCACGCAAAACCAAACATTTGATAAACAACATTTGCAGTGGTATTAAACATACCTATTTATTGCATTAAACAAGTGCTCCTTCTCACTATTGATCTACTTCTTTGCATTTTCCTAATTTACGTCAGAGAACTTTTTGTTTTTAAATTTTTTTTTATTTTTTCAACTTTCAATTTTATTTTG